TTTTTTCCATGACAAACTACTTAAACAAATAGCCACTAATTCTGCCTGTTTTCAGGCATTGTTACATCAAACACACCATTTCAAAAAAAAGAATTTCATAAACAATATCACTTCTTCAGCTATAAAGTGTAATACAAGTGTCTAACGGAAATCAAAGGATGAAGTTGTTTCAGGCAGCATAAACAATTGTGTTACAGGCCCAATTCTCCCTGAACTATTAATATAAAACCTAACTCGTATATCTAGTGTCTACAGCACATTTAAACAGCTTATTTAATTTGTCATTCATTCAATGACACCTTAAAATACACTTCTGACTGACTTGAACAGTTAATAACTACAATATTTTTCTTACTTTTTCTCAACTCATCTATTTAAATATCTCCAACAAAAACTTGCTTATTTTGTCTTAATCTGATAGCAGAGGATAGTTACTGGGCTGTCTCAAAGAACATTTTCTAGAGAGATCATCCTTAACAGCAATGCAATACCAAGTAGATGTTTTGCAAGGCAGAAAAAGAAGAACAAATTAATTAAAACTAGCATGTGACTGAAGTAGCTCTTGACTTTGCTCTACTGTATTTTTGTGAAGAGCTCATGTGTCTGCAGTCACTTTTGTTCTCCCAGAATTATACTTCCTTAGCAAATCTTACCTACCCATCACCTACCCCTGAAAAAAAAGTAATAATGGGGTTACTTTCATGCACTGAAAGAAAAATAGGTTATACTGGCTCATTACTCAATGGTATTAAGTCATTTATGATGAATTTCTGATTGGTAGTGCTAACGATGTAAAGCTTCCTTCCTTATTATACTGATATTACTGATATTATTTTTTGCAAATGGTCATGACAGGTAGGTCACTAGTTTTCCCTTTTTGACCAAGGACTAAGGTCAATACCCTGATTGAAGACATTTACGGACAACTGAACATTGTTTTTTCTTTTTGTGTTTGTTTTCCAGAGTTTCAAATTCAAGGGTTTCTCTTTATTAACTGTATCCATATGTCACCCTTTCCCCAGTAAAATTAGGATACCATACCCACTTGACATCCATGCACCTGTCACTCAGCTAGATTAGTTACTTATTTTTGAGACAGTTTGACATTTTGAGAAATCTTTGTAGCCCTCCTTTACTGCGGCAGACATCCTGCCTGTTCATCTTGCTGCATTAACTTTTCTCCCAAGTGTGCTATTTTTGTTACTTTTACAATGCTACTAGTAGAATTCTACATCTATCTTTTTCCAAAGTTCCTTGAAGCATTTTTGTTTGTTTGTGCCTCCTTAGATCAAAACATTTTTTCTATCCCAATACTTTCCTGGGGTGCCAGAACTGCTTGAAAAATAACAAAGGAAACAATATTTCTCACAACAAATGCTGAGTTGAATGTGAAAAAAAAAATATATATATATATATATGCACACACACACACCCATATATGTTTTTTTTTCCCCAAAGGGCAGCTTACAGCCCTATTTTCAAACAGAAAAACAGCATTTTTGATCAATTTTCATAAGATGTCCCCTCCTGCATTTTGTTGGGGGCATTTCCTTTTCATACGTTGAAACAGTATATAAAGTGTTTTACTTTTTTTGTTTTCATTCTGCAATAATAATATTTCCCCTTTCCTCTGCTGTTTGCCAGAATGACAACGTGTCTGGAATTTTCCCAGGACTATGAGTAATGGCAGGGTGGGATACTTGGTGTTTTAAACCCGACATTTAATTCGGGATATCTTTACACAGAGCAGAATGAGCTCAGACACATCAGGAAGCCTCATTTGTGTTCAATGAGTTTGTCCTTTGGTGAAGACCAAAGCTCTGGTATACTTTAAGCACAGTAATGGGTACTTATCCTATTACAAGTAAGTTTTTTCAATTAGTTGTTTGCCTGCTGTCACCTGACAGGCTCCCTTACCAGTTATAAAATCATCACTGAATATCATGAGTTTCAGCATTTGCTTTCTCCACAGCTAATGTCTCTGGAGCTAATATCACTATTCCTGTTAATCCACAGTCTTTGCATCTGTTTCCCAATTAAAATTAAGGAAGTATTTAGTTGATTTAATTCCATTAACCTTTAATTCCATTACCAAGACCACTGCTCTTAGAAAGGATGCCTCCGAGTTGGGAGGACCTTTGTCAACACACCATCTAAGACTGCGCGCGCCCCACTCATTCCCGCAAAATGATAAATTCTCTGCTGCTTCATGCTTCTTTCAAAAGGCCAAACATGGTCTTTGCCCAGCACATATGCCCCCTCAGGTTGTGCAAGCCCTCCTCTCTTTTTCCTTTATCAAGTCCCTCAGACACTGTCAGCCTCCTATATAATACAGTATGAACAGAGGAGTGCTCGTCATGGACAGACGCTCCTGAGTCTTTGGGTCCTCAGAAAGAGCTTTGTTCCGAGTCTCAGCAATGGTGTGCTCTCTCCCAGAACGGAAAGATCATGCTTTTAATAATACATCACTCAAGAGTCTCATATTTATGTGGAATACAGGCCTTCTCAAATTGCTATAATACACTTTAAAAAATAATTCCATCTATCCAAGCTAAATAAAAATACTTAAATCTACCAAGTATTCTGAACTAGATGTGCTCAGAATGGAGGCTATTTTCAGGCTGTCTGATTTTTTCCTGGCTTTGCTTTCTTGCAGATATTGAATTAAGTGCTATTAGAGCCTTTCTTCAGCTGTCACTCACAGTGCCAAAGGTCCGACGCAGAGCTTGAGAAACATTTTCTACTAATTGTTTCCTGAGTTAATTCTGCTCCTGGTAACACAGACTGCTCAGTTATTGTTCAGAGCTCTGATGGGTCTGACCAGTTCTGGAAGCCCCCAGTTCAGCAACATATAGCTGTGAATCTGTGTGAAACACGAGAGATCCACAGTGTCTCACAATAGAGTTCCACAAAGGCACAAAATCATCTATGTGTGGGGAATCTTAAAAGTTCAAAAATGTGCAAAGCTTCTTTCAGACCATCTAAAGAGTATTATGAGACCAGATGACTGGAATGAAGAAAGTGAGGAAGAAAAGAGGAGGTGAGAAGCAGAAGGAGAGAGATCCAAAGAGGAGAAATGACTGGGATATGAGAGGTATGGAGAAGATGGATAAAGAAACAGAAGATGAGGGCAAAACAGGAAAGACAGAAGATGAGAAAAGGGCCAGAAGCCCCCAACATGTGAATCATTTGCCTGCAATCTTGACCTGTACCTTGAAATACTCTACAGAATAGACATGTATTTTATAGGTATAAAACAGACTGCACCATTGAAAAACAAAACATTGTGTCTTATTCCCAATATATATCTCAAGACCCACAAGAGGCTATTTTCATCTCTCAAGCACTGTTATCAACAGTGTATCTGAATTTAGGTGCCTTTTAAAATGTATTAATTCTTCCCTGAAAACAACATCTGCTTAAAATAGTTTACTGTAACAACTCTTGTTTATTGTGTGAGATTTCTACTAAAACTATGAGGGAAATGTCTCTGCCATCAGCACTAAGTCTAGACAAATACACTGACATCACATTGGCGTGCTAGACTGAGACCTAAACTTGCCTACTATGCATAATTTTCCATGAGGAATCCAAAATAAAAACAGAAGACAAAGTATATGCAAGTGACTTGGCTTTTGACAAGCACTACAGTAATGACCAGCCACCATCTCTGCACATCTAACTAGATAAAGGCTATGAGAAACCAGGATGTTCCTTCAAAATACAGCGAAAAGAAAAAGAAGGGTGTTATCCATGGACATAGCAATACTACTTTTTATTTTATTTTAAACCATGGAAAACAGAAACAATAAATATCAATAATTTCATCCCAGACAGAGTAAGAATTTATCATAACTTATTTTTAGAATTGACTTAGATTTGAATTGCCTTAATGTTGAAATTTAATTTGTATGAAATGCTCTAATTCTATGTTTGTCAATAAATTCTCACATGATGCATCTACACTCCCATAGTTCTCTACAGCTCCTCTAATTCTGGCTATTTAATAAGCTGTTCTCCCTATTTTATTGCAAAAGAAAACACACTCTTCTTGTAATATTAAATGCACAGCAAAAAAAAAAAAAAAGTGTCACTGGATTTTAACCCTGATTGTTATCCATAAACAAGCATCTATTCTGCTCACTCTCCCCTCCTTTTTTTTAGGCAAGTAAACACACTGTACTTGTTTCACAAAGTTTTCTCTTTTTATGTATCTATACTTTGTATTACTCCAAATGCTCATCTTCATTTTTTTAATCTATAGCAATATCTCTTCTTATTTTGTTGTTGTCAATATTTCCTTGAAATCTAAATAAAAACTATGGAAAATAAAATGGATCTTTACTTCCACAGGTTTAAGCCTATAAGGTTAATAAATATCTCTTTTGCTTCTTACTAAGAGTCATAGTTTAATCACTCAATATCATCATCAAGATCTACATCTATTCTTTATTTTTCCCTGACTAAGATAAATTAAACTGTCTTACAGTAAAATTTTATCAAGAGAAGTTAAAGAGGAATTGTCAAAATATTACTTTAAGCTGCCAGGTATTTTCAAACAGTTAACAAATACTATACAATGCAAGCTAAAATAAAGTACTGCTGAAATGTATTTGGTTTTATAAAATAGAATCTTAAAATCAAACTGAATAACATTTACAGAATTGATTCAATTTTCAAGCGGTATAACTAACATTCTGAAAAAGTCTGCAGGTAACACTATTACCTTTTTGTCGTCATACTTTTGGAATAAAAGGGATCCCACCCTCCTTTTTCCTACTATAGATACTTCGAAAGACTTGAGCTACCCAGTCGGTTTGGGCAATATATGCAGAGTGACAGCTGAAATAGTTTTAAAGCTACCCTTTTGCAGCTAATTAATACATTAACAGAAGAGAACTTCCATCCTCTGGGAGACATATTGTAACACACAAAGTAATTTCCTTCCACCTGTCTAGAATCAGCTTAGACATAATTTCCATATCAGCATTTACACTTACCATCTTCGTCTGTCTGAATAATAGTCTCCTCGCTTTCCTTTCTCCCTTCTGGATTGGTTAAGATCATTTTGAGGCTGACATTGGTGTAGGGAGGCAGGTGATCCACGACATGCTGCGGTGCTTTGGGATCCATGTCCAAGCAGTCCGCCTTGCTCTCGTTGTGCCCACAGAAGTAGTGGTAGCATATGGTGACATTGAAAGTGTGGCAGCGCGTGATGTTGTACCCCAGGGATTCCCAGTCCACAGCAATGTGTCTGGCCTGGATTTCAGCAATCTTTAAGGTTTTAGGTGTTCTCATAGGCTCTAGAAAACAGATTATAACGAAGAAAAGTGTGTTAAGTTTCTTCACACTTGCACTGAGCTGTAAATGTTAGGTGATACACAGAGAAACCTGGAAGTAAAGGAGACACCCAACAAACACAAAGCGCTTACTGGAAGAAGTATCATGCTTTGGACAAGGTACCCTGAAAGAAAAAACAAAAGCATCTAAACTGTATCACTATTTATTTCATTCTTCAGCATTTCTTGGCAGGTTTCAATCAGTGCTTAAGACATAGCAACACACACACACACAAAAAAAAAAAAAAAAAAGAGAGAGAGAGATCTGCTAACTAAGAACACAGCAATTCATAACAACAGAGAATACAGACAGCAAGTGCAAGAAGAGTGACCAAGAGGCCACCCAGATGTCACCACTAGCTTCTCTTCTTGGTTTCCCTGGAACTCCCCCTAACTTTTTATGTTTTAACCTGAGTAAATTAGATACATTATAGTGGTGAAGAGCCAACATTCACCGCATTACAATTTATCATATCACCAAGTAATGATGTATGATAATTACACTAATTACGTTACTAAACAAGCAATTACAAAAATGATGCAGATATAAATTAAAGCTTATTATTTAGTAATAAGGCAATTCACCCAAGCAAAAAATCTCAGAAATATTACAAAAATGTTTTAGGGTATTCCCATGGTATCCTGTCTTCTCTTGACCCCCATAACTCTGCCTGGACTTTGCTCTGCGCTGGTGGTCATTGAGCATTTACCCAAAATCAACAGCTCTCCATGCTTGGATTTCCACTAGCAGAACATGTGATACTCCCTGAGGTGTCATCGATCTTTCGTTGTCTCTGTAGCACATTCACTCCTTATGCAAGACTAACTTTTATTGTAAAACTTAATTAAAATGATTACACAATGAAAATCATGACCATGACTATATATACTAGAGTTTCACTAGAATTATGCCAAGAGAATCTCTATATCCTGCTAACATACGCTTATTTGCCAGCGAAAAGAAAGCCTGCTAGATACAGCTTCAGCTTTGCACCCTTGTCAGTGTGAGGTCAGTCCAGTTGAGATTATCCGAGTAAGTGAAATAAAGGATTTCTCCTTCTAGGCTTGACTCTCCTGTGTAACTTGCATTTATTAAACTAGAGCCTCAACCAAGATAACAATCAGCCAAAAGCACAGATGGTATCTTGAAATGAGGAAATGTGAATCAGTGTAATCTATTCAGGAGGCTGTTTTCAAGACAAACCACAAACATTTAGTTTCAAACACCAAAACAGCTAAATTCTAAACACAGCAAAAGGTATTTCTAGAAACACATGCCTGCTAAGGATTAAAAAATAAGCTTGTTTGTTTCCATCATCAATCCTTTTCTTTCTGAATTTTGAACATGTGTGTTTCCTTTGCCCTTACGTGCTAATTAATCATATACATGAGGAAAAATACAAATGGGAAAAAAATCGGACTTGCCAGGCAGGAGCTTTCTGAAACATATTGCGTATTGTGACAATTGAGATCAGAAGCTGAAAAATACCATTGAATAGGTCCTTGAGAGATAAGAGGCAAGAAGAGAAGGAAAAAGGTTTTTAATAGAGGAAAAAAATGGGTAGTGCTTTAGCAAGTACAGACAGAGGTGTGTGGTAGTCATAAAAAAACGGAGCAACACAGTAGGTATTCCGAAGGAGCTGATAAGAGTCTTCAAACAGTGTTTCTTTAGTCACTGCAAGTGCATAAGAGAGAGAGAGAAAAAAAAAAAAACAAACTCAGATGTCTCAGAGGGAGAGCACTATTGAACAGGAAAAATTTATCCATCCTTTTTGAAATGAATGACAGTAAAAAAAACAGGAAAACTTTATCGGTCTTTTTTGAAATGAATGACAGTAAAAGAAGCAGTTACAATTTGACACCTAGAAGAGTAAACATAGCTCCTACTAAGGAAGTATTATATGGTATTCTTATTTTTCTTTCTAAAAGGGACTGATTCTTCATTTTAAAGTTCCCTTTTTATTCTACTAATTCAGGTTATGTCTCCAACCAGCACTGTATTAGACAGAAATCTAACTTGAATTTAAAATGTATTAGGAATTCAAAACTAGGTTATTTGGCAGTAAAGTTTAAGCTATTATTGTCTTAAACTTAGTTTCAGGAAATGTGCCAAATTTCATCCTCCTTCCTTCATGTCAAGACTTAGAATGCATTCCCATTATGTTGCAGGATTAAAAAAAAAAAGAAGAAAAAGAAAATTTTAGTAATCTTGAGGAAAAACTATTTTACAATTCTATGCAAATTTTACAAATGTGTCACAGTATCAGAGGAACTATGGAAAAGCATCCTTTATTCACCTGTCAAAAAGGAAAGAATGAAAGACAGAGCATGATCTCACTTTCCCACAACTATGCCGGTCTTTTGCAAAAATTAACCAACTTCTGCAATATTGAGATGGTAATTAAAGTGCGTAGAGTCTCTCAACAGCTTTTGCAGGCTCTGCCAATGGTCCCACTGCTGCTAAAATGATGCTTTAAAAACACAATTTTACCCCTGCCTTTGGGCGACATTCATCTCAGGGATCTCCTGAGGTAAAGCCCAATTGTTTTAAACTACCACACCAAAAAGCCTCCATCTGTAAGACTTCAGTAGAGAGTAATCTCCCAGTAATTGTTTTTTTTTTTCTCTAGGAAAGGCTGCTGAATTTTTGAGCAGGCTTTCCAAAAATCTCAGCATCTCATTAGTTTAATTTTATTCTAGATAGGAAAAAAGAAAGTGCTCACCTGCCATTTCTCCCCTTCCCTGTCACACTTAAAGGATTGCATTTTATCAAAATATTTTCTTAACTCTACTGTGACTTAACTTCAAATTACAGGTTCTCTTTTGAACTGTGTATATCGTTTCAGTGCTACAAATTCTGGCAAATTCATCTACTTTCTATCTTCCCACTTTCTTCTTCCCCACTTTTCCTATTTCACTCACATCTAGAACTTATATCTGAAGCACACTGCTACCCAAGCCCATGATTTCTTACTTCATCGTTGAATTAACTTATGCCAAAACAGTTCTCTTCCAAAGAAGAAAGAAATAGGACTCTTCAAAGGTATCTGTTCATTTCTTAATCTATCTGTGGGAGTTTCAACAATAGTAACAGTGGTAGAAAGGATTTAGTATTTTCTAGTCATTAATTTACCAATTGCCACTATGAGAAAAGTGTTTTTTTAATCCTTTTCAGTGCTGAGGAAAAGACACAAAAAGGTCCATAGCCTTGTGACTCAAAGACACAAGGGCACTACAAAGCCAAAAGAGCATCAAGCAGTGCCTAAATCTCTCAGGTCCCCAGTGCTCTGATCACCAGATAGCCCTGGCTATCAGGCCAGCAGTTCAGACAGGAATTGCCTTTGTAATTTGGATGCCAGTGCACAGAACTCACCTGTGAGCTTCTCAAGCCCAGCTCTTTCTTAGAGGAGTTCGCATCAATTTCAGTAGAAGAAGCTTGAAAGGATAGCTGTGATTATGTGAGTAACTGAGCACAAGCATATTTGAAAAGCAATTGCTTACACCGGAGGCTTGCGGTCTGAATCCGTCATCAGATTTTAACAAGGTAGGACACTTTTAAAGGTTTATGATTTTGAGTTTTGAATTTGAGTGAAATTTAAATTTGAGTTTTTTTTTTTAAATGCAGTTTTATTCAACATTGAAGGCAGTAAAAAATGCTTAAGCACTTCTTCTTTGAGAAGAAGTTTGAATTGAGAATATTGAGAAGAAACTCAATATTCTGCGACTATTTCAAGCTCTTAAGCATCAAGATCCTAATTGGCAGAGTTGTGTCCTCCAAGAGAAACATGGCAACAAGAAATAGGGAGGGCCTGGGAGATTTTGTTTTTTGATATTTGAATCAGAGAGGATATGTAATTCACTGTTCATATGAGAGACTGAGGAAGGAAGGGTACAATCCCAGTTTTAGATGCAGATTGAAGGATGCAATTAGGTATCCAGATAATTGGGTAATATGCACAGTATCTTAGATTAGGCTAAATGAAAGAAAAATCAGGATTTCTTGCACCTAGCTTCCAATAAATACTGCCTTTAACTTTCCTCCTTCTGTCCTTCCCTATCACTCTATCCATACGCTTTCATCCATTATCACTGGTCCCTCCAACTCCTTCCTCTGACTTCATCTGGAGAAAGATCTGCAGATGATATTCCTGAGAATCTATTATTTTCCCCTGCAGCTCTACCACTCTCCAGATTAGCTAGCAGTGCCTCTTTTCTGGTCCTTGTGCTGGTAATATCAGTTTGCATTTACCACTTTTCATGTTCCAGCTTCACCCTAGGTCCTTCTCACTTCACTGTAATCACAGGGGTTAATCACCGAGAACAATTTGCTCTATCAAATGCATAGCACCATCCTTAGCCTCCCATCAGAGCAAACTCACCTCTAACATGTTGTGCTGATGGGGCTGCTGCCAAAACCTCCACATGGATATTCAGAAACTCCCACCTCGGCCTGGAGGTGGCCTCTTCCTTCAGCTCTCAGCAGCTGGGGAACCTGAACTCAGTTGTCTTCCTCTCCATCCCCTTTATTTTATCTCTTGGCACAGGATTACCACCTATCTATCACTCAGAACCTTCACCCACTGTGACTGTTATTACATTTGCTGAACCAATTAAAAAGAAGAAGCATTAGAAGAAATTCAAAAGAACAGAAAATAAACCAGAATAATAGAACAGATCTCTACTTTCCCATTCCTTATTCAGAAACTACCCTAACTAAAAGTATTACACATTTGCAGCATTCGGTTGCAACAATTTATGGATCAAGAAGATTTAACCTAACTTTACAGAATAAAATAAAGAAGATCTTTAGTAATTCTCCAAAGGTTAATAATCCAGGGATAGATGGTAAAAGAGGCAGAACCTATTGACCCTATATCACCTCTCAACTGCAGGATAATTTAATATGAAGCTCCAGACAACAGATAAAATGAAATTCAATTTCTTTAGTACTTGATAAGCAACAC